ATATGAATCTAGTAAGTGATAATAAGTGATTCTCTAACTGATTTGTCCGTTTATAGACAAAGTTATAGCATTTTTTTAAAATAGCCCTAAAAACACCTAATTTACATGGATCCAATAATATCTATAATAACAACGTGTATTGTGACGACCCCACCTCCCCCTAAGGCGTACCAAAGGGTTCGGCGGAGCGCCTGCCCAGCTCTCGCCAGGACTCACTCACTATCTCAATCGAGTCATGTACACACATCCATGAACCATAAATAATATCCGCAATTCAAGCTTATAATTTACATTGATAGAAATCGAGGTACAAAGCCTCAATACACCAAAGTAGTTCAAAACCTATACAATCCAAGTACAACATGTTCCATTCGAGGAATAGCGCGAGTACAAGACCAAAAGTCAAAAGTCAAAACAAAAGGCTACGCTAGTCTTTTACAAGTCTCACGCGTCACTCGTACCCCCTGTAAGGAAAACAAATAGCGTGGTATGAGCTAAAAGCCCAGTGAGGTTCCAAATAGCAAATTGACCATTATTTATAAGTACAAGTTTTCGATATAGCAAAGTAACGAGCACGAAGAGTTCATAAATGTGAGCAATAACACGTCAAGTAGCAATCTTAAAATGAGCGAGTGTAGAAGTTTTTCAAAAGAAATAATAATCCAATAAACAATAATCACTCCAAAGTATAAGGATACGGATGGCTCTCAGGAGCCAAATTCCCATTGCATTACCAGAAGCTTGATCACGTAGTAGTTGACACTCCGTCAACTTTCAAGTAAGTAACCAATCCAGTAGAACACCACTTACACGACTCTCCGTCCACCGTTCAAACCCCCAGCTGGGCCTAAAATCCTCAAGAAAGATGGGTGGTAATACTCGAGTATACCGATTAGTCGAGGAGATATCACTCCACTCGACAATACAAGAGACCCAGGGTTCGTTACCCAATCGACCAAGCCCTTGCCGGCTCGACTAGAGTAACTCGCCACAGGGTTTCTGGAATTCCAGGGAGTGCGCGCATCATAACAAGTATGTCAAGTCAATTGCAACCATAAACAAGTGTATATCATGTAAGGGCAAGTGCGATAAAGTACACTCTTGCCCTAACAATTCACGTATATAACAGGTAATCATATTGGTCACATATCAAGTTCAAGTATCAAGTTCAATTCGGTATTTGAAAGCACTCACCAAAAGATATAGTGCCTTCACTGGTCACTTTCAGGTTATACTCTGGGTTCGGAGTTCAAAATCTGCGATAAAACTTAGTTTGAGAACTTTGAAACATGACTAGAATTCGAAACTTATACGTTTCGTTCAATAAGAATCAAGAAATGGAAATTCACTTGGAGAATACTCGTGAAATACTCGCTCACTTTTTAAATGATAAAACTTTGTAACATTTATACTTGAAATGGTCATGCGAGTCGAAAGTACAAGGAAAACGTACTTTGAGCAATCATTATTTCATTTCTCAAGGGTACAAGTTCGGCCAAGTCCTTATTTATATATCTTGGGACAAGAAGACTTAAGTACCCTAGACGGTTCAAGCAATAATCACTCTTAACCCTTACTCAAGTTGCAAGTAGTTCTCTAGTCTTCGAGCGTAAATTTGGGCAGCATGCCCTTTGTGTTTACCTAATTTTCCAGCCTTTTAGGCTTCATTGTTTTCTCAACAACAACCCAACATCACACATAAAACAATTCAAGCCAAGAGCCGTTCCCTAGGCTCACAATATCATAACAACAAGAATTGCATCAAGTACAAGTGCAGAAATTCAATGTGGCACACGACAGATTTGACGTATAAAAGCGGAAATAACTTGTCCGAGGCTACGCTTATCGGATTAAGGCGAAACCTATGCCGTTTCGAAGCTAAGACACAAAGCTACAACATTCATGAAGGTCACTTAGTCCATTTCCTAATGTAACTTAGTCAAAATCTCAGATTACTAAACCAGAAACCAATTCACCGGCTGTTTAAACGCAGAACACTGTAATGGACATAACTCAGTACACACAAGTCCGAATCAGGTTTTCTTTGAGGCATTTTAAAGCTACTTCAGAACACTACAACTTTTATGTTTTGGCCCAGAGCTAAATCAGAATGGATCCTGGTCAAAAATCGTGATAAACTGGACTGAACTGAAGAAACGGACTGCTGGGAAATTCTTAAAACAGTAGGGGTATTTTGGACTTTTCACGTTCTGCGTTGCTCCGTTTGAGCTGAAATTTTGTAGGCACCTATAAAATGTCATTCGCTACAACTTTTATTCTTTGACCTAAGGCCAAAACAGCCTCTAACATATAGATAAAAATTCGGACAGAATGTTAAGACCATTTTCCAGATTTTGGAAATTTTAAGTTTCTAGTGAATCTTTCCTCAATTTCTTGGTCCAATCACTACCAAAACACCATATAACACCTCAATTGCAACATATAAACATCATACAATCATTTGGGCAGAATTTCCATAAGCCCTAGTGCATCAAATAAATTGGGGAAAACTACTAAAACATGCTCATCATCCATAATCTCACCATAAAATCAAGTTACTAGGCTTAATATAACAAGATTAGAAGTAAAACTTGGAGAGATAAACTCTCTTACCTTGAATAAAAGTCACCAAGAGTAGCACAAGCTCTCCCCCTCAAGAATCACTCCACAACTCACTAGCTAGTCACTAGAAAACAAGTTTAATCGGTTTACTTTGCTCGATTCCTCACTTATTTGTTGGATTTGGAGATGAAATGAAAGATTTTCCTTTGGAGTTTCTCTCCTTGTTGTTCTCAGCCAGCCCAGCAGAAATGAAGAAGAAATTGCTAAGTGTTGGATTTAAATGGTTACTAATGGTCTTGGTTAAGAAGCCATGAGGTGGTGACAAGTGTCACCACCACCACCCTTTCTTTTTCTCTTTCTTTCTTGCCTTTCTTGGCCACTAATTTCGGTCAAGGCTGCTACAATATAAGAAGATATTATGTACAAAGTCAACAAACTTGTTGGGTAAGAAAAATGGTGGTCAAGCAGTGCGTTCAATCGGTAATGCGCGGGACCCGCCGGTTCGCGCCGTTTTTCTTAAAACTCACGTACTAGGGTTTTTACTTCTCATTCACTAACCTTATATCATTGCTACTACTCACATATTATTTCTCACTTAAAAGTCACTTTTAATCACCCAATTTGGTCCTTGCTTCGTACCGAAAATTCATCCGGCAGAAAATCGCGAAAACCCTAATTTTGCTCCAAACTTGAAACCGAAGAATAAAACCTTATTTTCTAGGTTTATTTACACTTATCATGGAATAATTGGATAGTAGGGTTTTAATAAATGATAATTTTCAAATAAAAAGAAATTTTTAAGAAAACGTGAGGAATTTTCCAATTCCAGTAATTTAAAATTAGGGTTTCAATTAAAATATGAGAGATTTAGGAAAACCGGTTAGTCACAAGTAAACTAGGGTTTTGGGCTACAATATTAGGGTTTCTAGTCTTTTTAAAACAAAATTAGGTTTTAAATCAACCCAAAGAAATGCACTTTAATATTTTCTTCATAACCAACCTCCTAATATTTGGGATGTTACATGTATACTCACTATACAATATACAAAAGGAAGAGTAGTGACAATTGGTGTAAATATTTTCTATTATTTTTTTTGAAGATTTATCCTAATCACGTAATCACATTTGCCAATGTAACTACTCATAACTATCCTAGGTATTGCAACTAACAAATTATCTATTTTTTTATTAAAGGAAAAAATTACTTATAAATTGAACTTTATTGATGAAATATTCTCATAAAATTTACTTGTGCAAAAAAATAAAATTTACAAATTCATGATAGATAATTTCTCAACTATGCACACATACACATTCGGTGTGCCTTTAAAACTAATATATATAAAAGGGAGAGGAGGGTTATGATGTAAACTTTTTGTACCACTTTATGTTATACCAAAAATACCTTGTTAAGCTTGTTTTCAAACTATTCATATTTCCTTTTTTTCTATTATAATTTTAAATACAACAACATTTTCCAAAGCAAAATTAGTAATTATAGATTTTACAAATAAATACATGCATGTCGACCATGATATGTGATAACTTAATATAAAAAAATAATCATACAATTTTTGAAATAAGCACACACCTAAGGTGTGTCAAATACACTAGTTTATTTAAAGGAGTTACATTCATCTATAGTAAATTTTGGATAGACATTCTAAAATATACACCATTCAAATGGAACCAGAAATTTACCGGGCTCAATAACTGAACACTATAAATGCGCTTTATCGCCTAAGTATAGGTATCTGCATTGCCCGTGAGGCAATATGGGCTCAATTGAGCATCAGTCACGGTCCGTTCGTCAAGATACAGCAATACAAATTCATAGCCAAGAGGATAGCATGTTTTGGGCTACTAAGCAAACGTAAGAGGCCCTCTTTGGTTTCTGAAAATACTTTCTTCTTTGTTTTATTATTTTTTACATCTTTTTTTTTTCTTTTTGTCAAATAATTAAAGGGCTAATTTTAGAAACCTTCCCTGAAGTTTTTAACTATTACAAAAGGCTCCCCTCTAGTTTAAAAAATTACGCTTACCTCCTTTATGATTAGAATTTTAATAATAATATAGACCTAATATGCTAAACTTGTTCTCAAAAATCCTAAAATATTCCATTGTTACTCGGAAGGGGGAAAATTCACTAATAAATTTCTTCCCCGTTGCAATATTGTAAACGACATGAACACCACCTTAACGAATTCAATAAACTACTTCAGTTTCTTACAATTTGATAGCCTACCATTGTTGCCCCAAAACTTCCCATGCAAATCAATTGTGACATCTTTTTTAAGTTCATTTAGTGTGGCAACAAATCTAATCCAACAACTTATTATTTGGCCATTTCAATTCAATGATACTTACACAACAAAGGGAAAACAAAAAAGAGAGAGAGAGGATCTATTCCATGATAATGAGGATTTGAGCTGTATTAGATGGTTGTATAGATAGCAGATGTGAAAAAAATAGTGAATTATAAGATGCATGAGAAAGAAGATAGGAGAAACAGTTGGAGAGAGAAAATAAGAGTTTATTTTGTGTAATAGTCGCTACTTTAGAATGAATGACTAGTAGTTGTAGGATTTTTTTTGGTAGGAATTATTTATAAGTGAAGAATATTATAGTCATTTTACTACATAAAACAAGGTTAGTGTAATTATTCAACCCTAAAAGGAGGTAAGTAAAATTATCGAAAATCTCAAGGGAGGTTTTTGAAATTATCCCATAATTAAAATTTAGTTGCTGATAGACAAAATTCAGATTGAAGTAATTAAAAAGGGAAGAGATTGCTAGACAAGAATAGCTAGAAACTTTGTGTTTTAAGAGTTTAAATAGTCCTTACTTTTGTCCATCTAGAAAGTTTAAAATTTATCAAGGAGTATTATTTGATAAAGCAAAAAGACAAAGTCTTGAAGTTTTTTATTTTTCAATTGTAACTTTATACTAGATTGTTAAATTTCATTTCATCAAAATTGGCTATATATTAGTAACAAAGGTGCCTTTACTTTCTTGAAAAATCCTATACCAATGAAATTAGCACATTTCAAATGAGATATTATTTGACAAAAATTGGACAATCCAAGACAGAGAATCTTTGTTTATTTAGATATAAAATCCTTATAAAAAAGTGAAGGGCCTGAAAATAATTTAAAGGAAATAGAGCTCCCTTTTTAGCAAACATCTTTTCCCATCCACACCCTCTTTAACCTGTTCCCTAGCCGACTCGTACATATAAATACCGACATAAACCTTTACTGCATTTCTCACCTTCTCTGAAAACCCTAGCAGCCGCTTCACTTCATCTCTCCCCAAAACCTAGGGTTCTATCTGCGACTTCTCCCTCGAATCACCATGGTAATTCTCTAACGGCACGGTCAATTCGACTAAAATGCATTTATTTTGCGTTTCATCAATAAATCATTGATTTTTTCTGATCTTGTGTTGGTGGAAAATAGGCGGATGTGGAGACCGATGTTACGGCCGCACAGCCAAAGAAGAGGACGTTCAAGAAGTTCAGTTTCAGAGGCGTGGATCTCGATGCTCTCCTCGACATGTCCACTGATGAGCTTGTTAAGCTCTTCCATGCTCGTGCTCGCAGAAGGTAGTTTCAATTGAAAACTAAAAACTACTAAAAACTAGAACCATAACTGATCCCTCCCACACCTAAACGATACATTGCTCTCAATGTAACAAATAAACATCAAAAGTAGGAGAAAGGACAACAAAATTTCCATGAAATTGGGTCAAAGTGGTGGGTGATAACCAAAGTGAGGCGTAAAATCCGCATGATGCATGAGGGCTATCAAATTCAAGTGGGTTTTCGAAGCACGGTGATGGAGCGGCTGGAAGTGGTGGCGACGCGACGTGGATGGTGAGCGAGCAGCGACGGCAGGCTTGGTGACGCGCGAAGTGGCCGCGCGAGCTGCTGTGGGTGGTGTCGGCGAGAGAGTGAAAGAAATTGGAGCTGGTGGCCGGATCGAGGAGAGAGAGAGAGAGACAGAGGGCGAGCTGGAGACGGGCGGGCGGCGAGCTGGACTGCAGGGCTGGTTCGCAGGAGACAGAGGAGGACGGCGGCGTGCAAGCGAGGTGGAGGAGATGGGGGCGGGCGTGAGAAGTGCTCAGCCGAAAGAGAAGAAGAAACAGGGGAGAAGAAAGAAGGAAAATAGGAAGAAAGAAAGGGAAGAAAGAAAGAAAACAAAAAGAAAAAGAAAAAAATAATTTTTTTTTGAAATTTTAATTTTGGAAACAAAGGTTATAGCTAAACGGAAAAAGATTTTTTTAAAAAAAATTTTATTTTTTTTAAATTATTTATTTTTTTAAATATTATTATTAACAAAACTCATTTTCGAAATTCAAAATTAGAGATGAACGGAAAATCGAAAACTGTTCTCGAGTTTTGAATACTTACCTTTCCCGCGAACGTGACGCAGACACATCAAAAAGGCAAGAACCCTTCTGACCATGAGCTCTCCATACGACTTGACGCGGGCGCGTCATGTCAGAGAGATACCTGTGAAACATCAAAAATGAAAATTGAATCCCGAAATCAATCAAGCATAAGGAAAACATATTTAAACTACCAATCAAAACTGAACAAACAACTAAAAAGAAATTGGGTTGCCTCCCAATAAGCGTCTTCCTATAATGTTTTTGGCTAGACATTGAACACCACCCTCCAATTTGGATGTAACTCAATTTTTCTTATAATCGGTGGCCCTCCTTCGGGATCCAAATAGCCATTGAGTGCAATCTTTTTCCTTAATTTTCTATTCATTTTCATCTTATAAATTACTTTCATCCCCTGATACTCGTTCGCAGCAACTTTGAATTTATCCCTACAAACAAACTCAGAAAATTCTTACACAAAGGGATTAATAGCATTAATAGCAAACACGGAGTGAGAGTTAATAGGATGTTCCATTGTATCAAAAATATTAAAGTGGACTATTTCTCTATCAAATTTCATAGACAAGGTACCCTTATGAACATCAATTTTTGTCTGAACTGTACTAAAAAAGGGTCTACTTAATAGCAAAAACGAGGGGTTGGGAGAATGGTCATCATCCATGTCAAGTATATAAAAGTCAGTTGGGAATATCAATTCATTAACTTTAACCAACACATCCTCGACCAACCCATCAGGGTATGCATTTGTTCGGTCAGCTAATTGAATTATTATCTCAGTTTCTTTTAATGGATCTAGGTTCAGAGAAGCATACATAGATTTAGGCATTACGTTGATTGATGCTCCTAAGTCCAGCATGGTATTCCTAATCAAAGTATTACCTATCCTACATGGGACAGTAAACCTACCTGGATCCCCACACTTCGGTGGGAGTTTCCTTTGTAGAACCGCTGACACATTCTCCCCCACGATGACCCTTTCATCTCCCCTCAACCTTCTTCGGTTGACTCACAAATCTCTCAAAAATTTTGCATATTTTGGCACTTGTTTGATTGTGTCTAGCAGGGGGATATTGATCTCTACCTTGCGAAGCACCTCCAAGATCTCTTTTTCCTTGTCCTACTTCTTCAGTTTCTCCAACCTGCTAGGAAATAGAGGGGGATTAGTTTTAACGTCTATGATCGGGTCAAGGAGTACCATTGGATTTTTTGAGCTTGTATTCTCTGCCTCAAGTTGTTTCTCAATCTTCTCTTCGTCCTTATCCTTTGGAGTCACGAGTTCGGGCCCCTGAATTTCCTTCCTGCTCCTTAAAGTCATTGCACTTACGTTCTTTAGGTTCAGTTCAGGTTGGGACGGCAATCTTCCGTTTACTTGAGACTCCAGACGGTGATTGATATTGCCATCTGACTTATCTAACTCTGCATCGCTTGTATCTGACCCATCTGACTTCTTATGTTCCGTAGTTCGGAGTCCGTCTTTTGCTGATATTATGCAGTACTAGCCATCAATTGTTTCATCATATCTTCCAAAGATGGACTGGCGCTTGGTGAAGGTGGTGGTGGTTGAAATTGATACTGCTGCTGGTACTCTTGTTGTCTACTTGGCATAAAATTGGACTGCCTATTTGCTCCATAACTGAAGTTGGGATGGTCCCTCCAACCAGGATTGTAGGTGTTCGAATATGGGTCATATTGATTTCTTAGCACAGGCGCGTGACCAGTCATGTTCACTTGCTCCATACTTTTTTATTGGATTATTGGGCACATCTCTGTAGAATGACCCATTGCAGTGCAAATCTCACACACCTTGGCTTGTGATGCATTTCCTACACCGAATTGCCTAACAAAAGATGTTAACTCAGTCAACTGCTGTTGATAGAAAATGTCTCTACCTCATTCACCTTGCGTGTTGGGACATTCTCCCTCGTATCAAACTGCTGCGAATTCTTAGCCATTCTTTCAATTAGCTCCTATGCTTCTCGAGGAGTCTTGTTCACCAGTGCCCCTCCACTTGCAGTATCAATTATGCTTCTGTCCCTGAAGAGTAACCCATCATAGAAATATTGAATGAGCAGTTGCTCACTTATTTGATGTTGAGGCATTTGATACATAACTTTTTGAACCTTTCCCAGTGCTCATAAAGGGACTCCCCTGGATGCTGCTTGATACCGTAAATCTCCTTTCTTAGACTTGCAATTCAAAGCGCAGGAAAATACTTGTCTAAGAATTTTTTCTTCAACTAGTCCCATGTGGTGATACTACCTGGTGGTAGGTAGTATAGTCAATCTTTTACAGAATCCTTCAAGGAGAAGGGAAATGCCCTCATTTTTATTTGCTCCTCTGTAATGCCTGAGGGTTTCATGCTGTTGCAAACTGCATCAAATTTCTGCAAGTGCTTGTACGGCTCTTCACCTGGTAAACCATAAAATGATGGCAAGAGATGAATTAGACCAGATTTTAGTTCAAATGGGGTGTTATCATTTAAATTTGGAAAAGTAATGCACAAAGGCTGTTGAGTTAAATCAGGAGCAGCCAACTCACTTAATATTCGTGCATTAGTTATAGTGACTTTTTCTTGATCCGAGTCACTCGAAGTGTCACCAAACGAATCTGTTGGTTCAACTTCTGACTCAGGTCTATGAGATGCAGCACTTGATTGCTTCTCTTTGAGCTGTCTGGTCTCTTTTCTTGTTCTACGCGCAGTCTTCTCTAATTTGGGGTTGAAAATTAATTCATCTGTACGAGAAGAACGAGGCATACACTCGAAAAGCACCAGAAAATTAGAACAAAAAATGAATTTAAAAAGAAACAAATAACTGACACTAGTCCCTAGAAATGGCGCCAAAAAATCTGTGCAATAATAAAAATAAACCTATTTGTCAACTAAAATAACCAAAATTCGATTCCAAGTGTTGAAGCAGGGACTCTAGATGTGCAATGGGTTATTTGATTCACTCTATTCCCGAAGAGTTTGCTTGATCTGATATACCTGAATGGGATGATTTTTCACAAATAATTATTAATTTGTAAACAGAACAATTAGGGTCGTATCCTCAGGAACTGAAGATATTTGTCTCTTTCGAAATCCAAAGTATTACGAGGGGTGTTTTTGTGTAAACGATGACAATCAAAAGAATTCAAATAAAAATAAATAGCTAACTAGAAATTAAATGACAATTCACTGAAATTAAATTAATAATAATTAAAGGTCTAGCCAAGAAATAACTTCAGTAATGGTTCACCTAATTAATCATCGATTCAAAGGCAATTTTAATTAATTACTAATAAATAGGTTATAACTGTCAAACAATCGATGACAGTCAACCCCTCCTTACTGTATCGGTGATTAAGGTACGCTCGTTAATCACCGCTCTAATTGGAAAATAATCCTAAGTACGCCCGTAAAATTTAATTTTCCAATTATTTTACGTATCAGAGGAGTCCTATTCTAATCAAATAACGTACTACCAAGGTTATTTTAAATTAGTCTGCGTATTCCCATGACATGAAACCTGACAGGTGCCGAACCCGTGCAATAATAATAATAGAAACCTAAATACCACTAAAAGCAGTCAAGATTTAATCCTAGGTACTGGAGCAGGGACTCTAGGTGTGTAATGGGTTACTTGATTCACCCTGTTCCCGAAGAATTTGCTGAATCCGATATACCAAAATTAATTAATTGACAAAATTTACCAAATAGTAGACAGTGACAAGTAGGGTCGTCTCCTCAGGGATTGGAGATATTTGCCTCTTTTAAAGTCCAATTGATAAGAGGGGGATTTCACCGATATGCAACTAAAAATAATTAAACAATCCAACTAAAAATAAATAATTAACTAGCACAAATATAGCAGGAATTAGATCAAGAATAAATAAATTCTAGTCAAGGATACAACTACCCAGACACAGTCCGTTTACCCGATCATTGATGCAAGAGAGGTTCAGTTAATTTATTAATAGACTAGTTATAGTCGCCGACGAATTCTAACGACCAATTTTTCCTTAATTTATTGATAACCAAGGTACAACCATTGATTACTCCTAACCAGAAAATACTCCTAGGTACGACTGTAGGAATTAATTTTTCAATTGCATTAATCACTAGAAAAACCTAACCCTAATCAATAACACGCTACGAGGGTTATTTAAATTAGATTGCACATTCTCCTAATGTGTAAACACACCAGTTGCCACTAATATTA